AATTATTAAAAGTGCTAATAAACTATAAATATTTTTTTAAAATGATAAACAGCCCTCCCTTGGTATTTTCTGAATACTTAGGAACCTAATTTATGCTAGATCTGGTTTGGGAATATAGTAGATTGGCAACAACAAAACTGTTACCAAGACTTTCAGCCTTCCTCTTTGCTTTTCCTGTCACACTCTTGCCTTGTGGAATAAGGATTGCCTTGGCAAAAGTTAGTTTTGCATTTTATCCAACTTTACGCCTGTTGGACAGTTGGTTATTAACCAGTGGGGAAGGCCTATAATACAGCACTTTTGGCTGCCTAATTTTAAGGATAAACCAAAGATATCTGCTGATGAAAGTCTTTGGTTTAAAGACATTTTTTTAAATTGTTTCATGTCTCACATACATAGAGTAAAACCAATTCAACATTTCTCTAAAAGATCTTCAGATTTGTTGTTTTGTTAATCTGGTGTGATCTACAGGTCAGTTGAATTGGAAAGAAGTTTCTCTTAGCTATTCCTCTACCTTAAAGCTAGCGCATTTCTGCCTGCATTATCTTCTATTAAATGTTCAGAATAAAAGGCTCATGGGTCCTATTGTTCACTTGCACATCCTTGGTTGTCTATATTTTTGTAACATGCTTGAGTTTATCCATGGTATACAAAGCAGGATGTTTATTGGATATCTGAGTTTTGACCCTGACCACACCAAGTCTATACTTGCTCTAACAAACATACCAGTTATAAAACAGGAAATTAAGTTATGGTTACAGAATGCTCAAAGATATCCTCTTGGAACCACCAGTGCACATTTATGAAACCTTTGGGCAACTCAAGCACATTAAAGCTCTATCAAAATCCTGCAACACTCAAAAGTCATGCTATATTAGTTTGTATTTTGGCCAAAATATGTAAGATCACTACCTTTGCCAAAGATTCTGGTCTGCTGAGTCCTACACAAAGTACAATGTACTGTATATGACCAATATATTCTCCACACTCAGCTCCATCATACTCATTATCATATAACACATTTATTTTGCCGACACAGAAGTACTTGCTTCAACAAAACCAGATTTTTTTTCTTTTTCGTGTTCTGGTCAAAAGCATGAGCAAAATATTTTCCTCAGTATTGACAGTGGTGTAATCCCTATCCAATTTTTGCAAATAGTTAAATTGTATTTCTACAATCATCTGGGACTAATTGTAGAAATTTGTGAAGATGGGCAAAGAGGAACATCACTGAGGGCTGAGCTTGAGAATCTTTTGACATGCTCCTTTTTTTTTTTTTTTTTACGGTTCAACCTTTGTTAAACAACATTGGTTCCTCTGTACTAGAGTATTTGTGCAATTTCTTAAAATATCCCCAACTGCTGTTTCTTCTGCAGCAGTGCCATACTCACTGGACCAGTTCACCATTACCTGAAAATGTTTTCTCCACTATTGTAATTGATATTTTCTAATTTGTAAAATGATCCTCCTCTTTACTCTTGTCTGTTGAGCAGGAAGTGTTTAGCTGTTGTACATTTCAACACTTCTTCCACATCTCTCTTGTGCCTTCTTTGTATGCTATTTTTCCATTTTATATGTATTATCCTAATACCCCTATTGACCATTTAGGTATGTATAGATGAGATGTTTTTTTCGCCTGTGTTTTAGATTTAAGTGTTCTTCACTCCAAAACTTTCTCCAGGTTTCATTAGATTTCCACTTCTTACTCCTATCTTATACTTAAAGCGGAGTTCTGCTCACCCTGTCAAAACATACGTCAGCAGCTACAAAAACTGTAGCTGCTGACTTTTAAAAAAACAGCCACTTACCTGTCCCTCGATCCCACGGTGTGTCCTCTGCAGCCCGTTTCACTGGCCGTCCTGTGTTCCTGGAGGCCGGCATCTTCAGTGTGGGCACATGGCTGTGATAGCTTGTGGTTTCACAAACGGGTACACACGTGAGTAGAGCTGTGCTTCATGAATGGTCCTGTAGTCTTCTGGGACCTGTCACGTGTCCCAAAAGACTACAAGGAAGGAGGGAGGACAGTTTCCTCTCCTCTGGTCGCCTAGGTGATTGGGCTGGAAGTGGGAGAGAGTACCTGTCAAATTTGGGTACCCGCTCCCCCCCGCCCCCCAAAGGTGCCAATCTTTAATGGGGAGTGGGGGAGCAGTCCTTAAAGCGGAACTTCCCCTTTTGGGTGGAGCTCTGCTTTAAGATCTTAATCACATGTGATTGTGAAGGTATCAAAGAATCCCTCACACTTGTTCATCTTGTTGCAGTAGTGAGACCAAGGGTGTTTTCTGTATACAGTTGGCCTGTGTGCAAATCATAATTGGGGACCCCTTCCCCAAGATTGTACACTAACTACCCCATGCTATAGGTGTATACATAGTGGTGCTTAGCAGCATCCAGAGTGTATATGCAGCCAGAAGGGATGACCATGTATGCAAAACTGTCCGTACCCAGGCTTGCTCAGAGATGCTAATGGCATGTATTCATTCCTGTGCACTTGAGAAAGGGTAACACTCTTAATGTGATTAAATTGCACTGAATATTGGATGTAAAGGGGTACATAGAACATAAGCCTACATATTGTAAACACTGTATACAGTTTGCAGTCCTTGTACCCTCAAAATACTCCATAAATACACTTTATACAGTTTGCAGTGCTTGTTCTCACAAAATAGTCTGTATCTGTTACAAAATGAGAGCAGTCAAGATAATAGACAGCTTCTAGCTGCTCAGTATAATTAAACTCTATCTGATATTGTATAACCAAAAGTTACGTAAAGTGTTACTAAACTCACAACCGTAAAATCAATCTTTATATGCAGTAAATTATGCTTGTTATACTCACTGTGGAATATAAGGGGTTAATCCTCTGCATTGTGTAAAAACACTGTTTTATCCTGACTTTTCTGATCCTCCTCTTCCAGTGCCCCCCTCTCATCTCCTGATGACATTGTGTGGATTCACTCTGCACATGCTCAGTTTGGTGAGTATTGCTAGAGAGGGTTTTTATTTTCTTGGGAGAGTGCATTTGATCAGCACAGGGCCAATTGGCACTGTCCAGACAGAGGTCATGAGTCCAGCATTCTCTTAGAGCAGAATGAAACTTCCTCCTACAAGCTTTAACATGTGCATGGCTGGACACTGATAGAAGTCATAAGACTTCTTTAACTGTTGATGAGAAAAAGTATTTAGCAGTTTATTTTTACTAAAATATTTCCATGTTCTGTGTACTGTGGGAGACCAGATATAGTGAATGCAGGGTCCTGGGTTTAGTAACACTTTAACTGATGTAGTCATTTTCAATGAAGCACATTATGAGTATGAACAGGATTGACTCCACCTATATTCATGTATAGCACAAGCTTATCCATGAGGTTACTTAGCAAAACTCTCTTAATGCCCCAAATCATTTAGCTCTCTTTAAGCGCACACAGGATGACTAGGACTGTATGTGCCAGCCTGTCCTAAACTAGACATGAAGGGCAGAACCAGGGTTAAGAAGTTGCAGTGACTTAGAATGCACCCCAATCTAATGCACAGTTTTCTCCAAACTGTCCCAAGGAATGGATTGTGCAATGCAGCCTGGGTTTTGAAATTGCAACCAACCGCATGTTGACCCCACCTGTGTTTCAGCATCTGCTCACTGCTTCCTCTCCTTTTCTCATTCTTCTTGCCATGTTTCCTGAGCTAGGTCAGATGCCACTCAGATTCTGGAATAAATGAATCTGCTTTGAGCTGCTGCTGCAAGTGAAAGGCATGGATGCAGAGCAAAAACTGACATTGTGGTGAGGAGCATACCCCTTCTCAAATCAGATACCTAATGTGTGCAGTAAGTGTACTGTGTGCTGCACACAGGGCCGTGGATAAGGGGGTACCACCAGTCCTTCTGTATGGGGCCCAGGCAGCTGGGTGAATTGGATGTGGGTAGAGAGGGTGATCGGTGTGGTTGGGGGGCAATTACTGGAACTGATTCCCTGTATGTCTCTCTGTGCAGCAGCTAAAAGCTGGCTTCTTCTCCTCTCCCTCTCACTGGCTTTCAGCTGCTGCAGAGAGCCATAAAGGGGATTGGTTACAGTAATACCCTCCACCACACCCATCACCCTCCCTGTGAACCATACATTTCTCCTTGCTGCCCAGGTCCCCCTGTGTGCCTCCACCCACACAGTGCTGCTGGCTTCCCTCCTCTCCTTTCCAATGGCAGTTATAAGCACACAAAAGGGTCCTTCAGGATAGAGAGTGGGGGAAGTGTCTGGTAAATGTCATTTACCAGCCCCTTCCTATCCTTAATGAACACATTAGTGATTGGTACCGATCACTCACTAAGTTAATTTATAACTAAAGCATAGTCAGCTGTTTTGTTTTGTTTTTTTGGGAGGGGGGCCCTGTCAGATTGGCTGACTGTATGGGGACCTGTGGTTTCTAACAGCAGCCCGGGCTGCACACATTGCACAAATTAGAGATATGTACCTCCATGATCGGGTTTTTCAGTTGCAGTTACAGGGTTTTCTTGATTATCTTTTCTGTCCCATATTTTCTTTTCAGTGTCAGTAGAGGATAGGATCTTGCCAATCTTTATTTAGATATCACTATAAGCATGTGGCAGATACTGTCAACCTTCCATCCGTTTCTCTTGTGATGTAATGACCTCACACATACTGTATTTGACTAACATATATTTATACATTTTATTGAAATATGGATCATCTACTAATACTCATCTTTACATTAAACGCTTGCCCACCACCCTATAGCATAAATACTGCTACAGGGTGGCAGGGCTGTGCAAAATCACGTGTGTATATATGCGTGATTTTGTACTTGCTGGTAGGGGGCGCGTGCGCCCTCTGCATGCACCGCCATTGGCAGCTTCAGCTGTCGATCACCGGATCCCGGCCAGTGATTCCCCGCTGGCAATCGCCAAATGTCACCGACGGGAGAGATCTATATGTAAACAATACAGATCTCTCCCTTGTCAGCTCCAGCATACTGTTTTGTATTGCTCTGCATAGCAGCGTGCTTACACAGTAAAACAGCACACAGACAACCCTTTTAGCGTCCCAGATGTTAACCCCTTCCTGCCCAGTGTCATTAGTTCAGTGTCAGTGCTTTTTATTAGCACTGATCACTATATTAGTGTCACTGGGGATGTCAGTGACAGTCAGTCCCCCCCCCCCCCCCCCAGTGTCAGAATGCCCACCACAGTTTCGCTATAAGTCTCTGATCGCCGCCATTGCTAGTATAAAAAAGAAACAAAAATTTAAGTGTATATACTGCCAGTTGTAAATGCTATAACTTTCACGTAAACCAATTAATTTACACGTATTGGTTTTTTTTTTTTTTTTAGCAAAGACATGTAGCAGAATACATTTTGACCTAAATTTGATGTAATTTAATTTATAATGTTTTTTTACTGGACATGTTTAATAGCAAAAAGTCAAAAATATTCATATTTTTTTTTTCAAAATTATAGTTTTTTTTTTTTTATAGCGCAAAAAATAAAAACCACAGAGGCGATCAAATACCACTGAAAGAGCTTATTTTGTAGATAAAAAAAAGACATAAATTTAATTTGGGTGCAGCATTGCATGACCATGCAATTGTCAGTTAAAGTAACACAGCGCAGCATCGCAAAAAATGGCCTGGTCAGGAAGGGGGGTAAATCCTCTAGAAGGCAAGTGATTAATTCACACCAAAATGACTGACATCAATAGTTTCTATTACTAACCCTGCTTGGCCATTGTACGTTTTCTATTTTGGTTATTTTGACCTAGTTGGACATTCAAATATTCTATTACTACTAACACATCTAGCTTCTTGAAAGTATATGCTTGTTTACAGTTATCCTTTAACTTAGCCCCTTCTCCAAAATCTTATACTCACCTGCCACTTATCCATGCATCTGCCAGATTTATGCTGTGTCTGCTGCTACAAACTCTCCTTGCTTTTCCTTCTGCACTTGTGTAGAAAAATAATCACATTTATTTCTATGGAGCGGCCATCTATTATGTGTTCTGAAAATAAACGGCCTCTTTTTAGGAATGAATGGGTTTTTTTCTGTGCAAGTCTAGGAGGGAGCAATCGGGGGAGATTACTCCCATGGGCCACACAATGTAGACCTGGCAGAAGCATGGATCGGTGAGACAGATTTTTGCACCAAAGCTCAGTGACTTTTAGCTATTTGTTAACCTGTACAGTAAATGTTACTGAGTTGCTAGTATGCAACACTGGACATAATAAAGTGAACCTTGATTTTTGCTTGGGTCAATAGAAACCATTCTTATTTCAAGCACTTGTATAAATAAGGTGACATGTGTACATGTGTGGTATTAAAAAGTATTATGAAAATAATATATTGCAGATCTATCTGAAACATATAAAAAATAATGAATAAGAGGTGTACATCTACCTTTAGAAGACTGTCAGCTGGTTTTAACTTCTTTCTAAAATGTAAAAAAGTAGGGATGACAGGGAAATAGAAACTACTATTTTTGGTGCTTTTAAAGGTCCCCTTAATATGGACCAATCAGTTTTATTCATCTTTCAGTCTGAATATTTTCACACTGATCTGAGTGTTTGTGCTGTCTAAAGTTGATTTACAGGTGTCATACTTTCATTTGTCCTTTTTCAGCTTCTAGAAAAGAAGACAGACCCTTTTTATGTGAGTAGTGTTTGCACTGTGTACACGTTTAATAATGTTTTAGACACTGAATATGAGCCTTGTACTGTGGGATACATAGTGCTGCATGAATGTTTATGGTACCTGTGGCCCACAGTAAAGTTGTGCCTCTGCAAAGTTACCATGCAGGAGAGAGTACCACCCTGAATATATCCTTTGATTACCTGGTTACCAGGATATTTTTCAGTTTCCAGTGCCGTGATAGTTATAACTGACAATCATGCAACCCTGTACCCAAATTACATTTATTTGTTTTATTTTTTTTGATAAGGAGCTTTATTTTTTTGGTTAGTAACCTCTAAGGAAAAAAGGCCAACAATTTCTTAAAAAAAAAAAAAGTTTCTGTAGACGTCAAGAACCCCCTCCCAAAAAACATGACCCTGAAAGTACACACCTCAGTTTATTTTTGTTTTATTTATTGCAGGTATATAGCGCCGTCAATTTATGCAGCGCTTTACACATATATTGTACATTCACATCAGTCCCTAATCTAAGGTCCCTAACTCACATTCATACACATACTAGGGCCAATTTAGACAGGATCCAATTAACCTACCAGCATGTCTTTGGAGTGTGGGAGGAAACTGGAGTACCCGGAGGAAACCCACGCAGGCACAGGGAGAACATGCAAACTCCAGGCAGGTGGTGCCATGGCTGGGATTCAAACCAATGACCCTAGTACTGCCAGGTGGAAGTGATAACCATTTAGCCACTGTGCTGCCCCAATATAATCTCATTTTTGGCCACAATTGTTTTGGAAATGAAGAAACATGCTGGTATTAAGGAGGTTAAAACATGAAGCTTGAAAATGCTGCACTAGATACAGAACATAAAGGTTATGCACATAGGAAGAAATGAAGGTTTGTGCAGGTCACATACAGTGTGGGGAAGGGGAAGGAGATAAAGTGTTTAATGTACAGATGTGCTGGTTATGGGATGTGAAAGGTAGAGAATGGATTAATGTACAGATGTGCTGGTTATGGGATGTGAAAGGTAGAGATGGATTAATGTACAGATGTGCTGGATATGGGATGTGAAAGGTAGAGATTGGATGTGTAGGAGAGGAGGATGGCAGGGAGAGGATTAAACATAACTTGAATATGCTGCTGTAGTGAGCCCTACACCTCTTAGGGAGGTTATACATTCTTTACTTACTGTTTCTTCCTCCTGCAGGGAGGGCTCTTAGATGTAAACATACACTGTTTACTTCTGAGATTGCTGTAATTGGTCACTCCATGACCAATCACAGCATTAGCAATGTACAGAGCTGCTTCGATCGGCTTTGTACACAGTTTTGGTCCAAGGATGGCTCAGTTCACGGCATTAATGGGTAGAATGGCCCTGCAATAGCGCATTATCCAATGCCATTTATAAAGGCATTGGGTAAATAACTGTTTTCCACTTTGAAAATTTGGCGGTAGAAAAGTGGTCAAATCAGGGTACCTTTCATCAATAGCTGAAAGAGGCTTTCAGAGGTGAACTGCATGGAAATACCAAAACAATAAAAAATATTCAAAAACAGTATTTTAGAGGAAAAAAAACCCATGCTATTAATGCACAGTGCTTTATCATATTAAATGCTATCCATTTCAGGTTTATAGCTATTTAAAACTAGAACATTCTAATAACCCAACTTATCTGGTTGCTATGGGCTACAAAATCAGTTCAATTGCATTTTTCAAGGTTCATTTTCATAAATCCACCTTTAATGTTATAGATCTCCTATGTTAACATGCAAATCAAATGAATAGCAATCAATCTTTTTTTTCCAAAGGAGAAAAAAAGATTCTATTTTATTTATATATTTAAAATGTAAAAGGGAACACTATCAATGCAATTTCTCATGACATGATTGCTAAAGTTAGACAGCCTCCAGCTGCATATTATAGAAAGGCCATAATAAATGGTGCCATTGTGCGCATTTTCAGCACTACTGGTAATCTGCAATGTACTCTCAATGTACTCTCCTGTTCATTTCTGTTCAGATTCTCCTTCAGACAAGTGGAAAGTACAAAGACGCCTGCCATAGCAAGCCTGGACCATTCAGATGTAATGCAGGGGCACACAGAGCTGATATTATGGAATTTCATAAACCCAAAATAATGCTGGTTCACTGTGTTATTCGGCTGCACAGATACGTGAACCATTTATGTCAGAATCTGAGCGAATGCTTCTCATCTTTACTTCTAAAACACATATAGATCATTTGAGACAGTTCACGCCATAAAGATTGACTATTACATTTTTGTAATAAAACCTAGATTAGGCCAAACATATAAAAAAACACACTCCAGACAGATATATAAAAGCATTTACCCTTTAGTTCCCTTAACAAATGTAGTCTGTCAGAAACTATGCAATCAATTTTTGCTTGAGCTAGTCTAGTTACTTGAAATCTTCCTTTAATTTAGGTTCACACTAATGCAGTTTGCGTTTGATCTGTTTCTGTGGTGCTTTCTGAAGTGCGTTTTTGAATTTTTACACATGCATTTTGCAGGTATTTTTTATAAAACGCAGAAAAAAATGCATAAAAAAAACGCACTACATGCTTTTCTGCAGCGTCTCTATTGAAGTCTATAGAACCATAAACGCAACCTTTTGCGTTTGAAATAATCCCTGATCTTTTCCAAAAAATGCAGCGGGTGAAAATGCGGTGATGTGAACCTGTCCCATAGAAAATCATGTTAAATGGACTGCTGTGTATTTCTGCAAGGCACAGTGGAAAACACATAGGTGTGAACCTAGACTTATAGCTGAATTCAAGACACAAAAACATTACATTAAATATATTCCTTCACAGTCAAAGGATATGGAGTACACATGCCGTCTTGTATTTAGACAATATTTGCTTATCCCTGGAGTTTAGCTTTAAAAGAGAGAATGGACTTCTAAAATAAAGCTGATACCTTTTTGGCAGACTATACATTGCATGTCACTAATTTTTCTTTCAACTGACAATATTTTTTTTTTCTTGCATACTGCTCGCCTAGATTCAGGGCGTAGCTGCACAGATATAACTTCCAACTGCCTTGAAGACAGTCTGAAAGATTCAGAGAATGGAACCAAAAGTGATGTGATGATGGCAAGATGTTTTGCGTCATTTGTGCCTCCCTGATAGTGAATCAATTCACATATTCACCGGCACACCATATAGACCTTCAAATGTTGTCCAAAGCTTTTAATGCAGAAAGATCACAAAAAGAAACAAGTGCATAGATTTTCCGGAGCCGTGCTCGGACCCCGCTTACATCAGACATATGTAGATCACAATGGCCTGACGGGAAAAAGGTCCTGCAAACGACTCCAAAACGTATATGCCACTTGTTTTTGTGATGTGATCTGCAATCTTTCTGCATTTATTATTAAAAGCTGTTGGACACACACTTTGAAGGTTCCATGTGACACATGCTGCCGGGGGACGTGAATATGTACAATGATCCTATGATTAAGTCTAAGTATCCAAGATCGAGTAGTAGTTGTGCAGCACCTCCTCCCCTGGATACTGACGAGCCCTGTTTCCAGAAAAGACTGAGTGATGGTAATAT